AGTGGAAACACAGGCTCCCTCTATCTCTGCCCCCCCCCCCCCATTCAGTTTTCAGTATCACATCCCTTTCCGCCATCCTCCCTTTCATTCACGGACAAACAGTGACAGTTTCATTCTCTGTCTCCTCTTCCGTCCATCACTGGATAATCTCCCTCCATCTCTATGCTCTCTCTGCTCTCCCCCAGGAGAACTTGCTGCGTCTGGTCCACATAGAGTACAGCGTGAAGGGCAAGAGGGACCTCCTGAAGCCTGGAAGGGTGAGCACCAAGTGGCCGCTTCTGGCCAGTACTGTTTCACAACACATTGTTTTGTAATGACAAGAAAAGTATTTGAAGGCCTTCACAGGGTCTGAAACATAATTAAAGTAAGCAGCAATTTGACGGCCTAACATGCTTTTCTTATGCTTTTCTCTGTGTGTTGTTTCTTTTGGCAGATGTTTGTCAAAGAGGGCACACTCATGAAGGTCTCAAAGAAAAGCAGGCAGCCCCGACACCTGTTTCTGGTAATGTTTCTTCTCTCCATATCACTCTAACTTTCAGGCACATTATTGTTGTTTAAACTTTTAAAATAATTTTTCCCCCTATTCTTTTATTATGTACTTTCAAAGTCATAGTTCTACATCATGGGAAATATGCTTATTAGCTCTCTGGCTGAGAGTTCGATGAGCAGATCCACACTACTCTCATATCTGTTAAAAACAGCCAACAGGCCATAAGCTTAGTTTAGCATGAAGACTGGAAGCAGAGGGAAACAGAAAGCCTGGCTTTGTCAGATTAAGGTTTTAAAAAACACACATCAGCACCTCTAAAGTTCCCTAATTAACACCTTATTCGTGTGTATAAAAATGACAATTGGTGATTTTTTGAGGGGGTTATGTGCAAGAATGTTTATTCGCTGGGCTCAGTGTCTTCCTGGAGTCTGTAGTTTTTCTGGCAACCTGGTTTTTGTGTGGATTAGTCAAACAAGATAAGACATGTTAATTAGCATTCAGAGGTGTTGGTAGGTGTATTTTTTACCTTTGGACAGTCAGACTAGCTGTTTCCCCATTTCCAGCCTTTATGCTAAGCTAAGCTAAGCGGCAGCTGGCTTTAGCTTCATATTTAGCATATAGACATGAGAGCGGTATCAATCTTCTCATCTAACTCTCTGCAATAACAAAAATTAGCATATTTCCCAAAAGTTCTAACTAATTCTTATAGGTTGTTAAATCATTTCACACATGGAACTTCAAGCTGCATAATTTTATACAAACTTCTCCAAAAATCATGCTAACATATTTGGTGTCTTTGGAAACTTATGGATGGAGTTTTAAGTAAGGTTCTGGGGGAACTTTTCACTGTAAACAATAATTTGTACCATAAGTTCAGTAACATCAGTGATTCGACATGGTGCACTACAGTTGAAAACACCTGCCATGTTATTGAAGAAATGGCAAAAACAAGGCTAGCGTGGTCTGCGAAAATATAGGGGAATGTTGGGTGGAGGTCGTTTTGCGAGATGGGTGAGGTTGAGGGGGGGGCACGAGGCCAAGGCTGTAAGACCTCCACTTGGCACCACACCCATCGAGAAAGGGTCTCCCTCTCCGCTCTTCTCCTCTCCTCCCCTCTCAGGACTTGTTTTCCAGGGCCCCACTTCCTTACAGGATGTTTGGTGTGGGTCACTGGATGCTGGCTTCCTGTGTATTGGGAGGGGACTGACAGCAAAGTGAAGGCCAGACACCCTGTAGAATGCAGGGAGGAGGAGGAGGTGGTGGAGGAGGGGTGGTGGCGCTACACAAACACATAACGTGAAATAGAGAAGCCCACTCTATTGTTCCATGCGCAGTCAGTGCTGTCTCATGTTGTGAATTATGCTTGAGCTACACATCTGCGGGAGCGGCGTAAATGATTTTGTCTTATACTAGTCGATCCAAATAGAATATAACGTGGAGATGTGGATTTGTTTTATCGTTTATCTTCATTTTGCTCAATTCCATCATTCTCCTAGTCTTTCCTAACAGGAGTGCAGCTGAGCGACAGCTGAAAAGGGTCGGTGGTTGATACTTGTAGGCCATTAGGGTTATATAGCCATTCGCTCCCTTGAAGCTGACGGCATTGGTGGGTCAGCTGTTATTTATGGGCTTTTAAGGAAAGAGAATCCAAAGAACAGTGAAGATGAAAGCCATCACTCACCTCAGCAACAGAGAGAAGCTACAACCATGTCACAAGCCTGGGCTCACAGAAGAAAGACAAGTGGGGGTGAACGAGTGAGTGGAGGGATTAGAAGGAGAATGGAGGTACAGAAAGTTGCCAGAGGGAAGACAGTGGGAGTGAAAGAGGCAGGTGAAGGAGGTGAAGGGTTAGCGGATGAGCTGAAAAGCCTTGAAGGTGCCAGGGGGTCAGGTAGGTACATGTCGTGTCTCATCTAGGAAAGTCGTCTGTGTGAAGTCTGCTAACTTGGCACTTGCTTTGGTTTCTGTGGAAGGAATCTTTGAGTAAATGAGCAGCGCAGGCAGGGTGGAGCACACGAACTGCGGTGGGTGCAGCCCAGAGGTCGCAGGCAGGGCTCGGGCTTGGCTATCATGCACTGTTTTGTCTCCAGCCAGTCAGCCAGTGAACCCGTAACTGCGACTGTTTGTGTTGTTGTTGTGGTGAAGGTGGCCGGTTCCACCCAGTCCTGGTTCTCAGTGTAGCCTCAGAAGGCTGGGAGGGCGAGGGGGAGGCATGGAGCCCGGACCAGGGTGGAGAATTCCTGGATGCTAGCTTTACGGCCCCAGCGGATGTTTAGAGCACACATTAGGTGTGACCAGTGATGTCATCTCTTTTGTCTGGGAAAAAATGAAATACCTCTCATAACACAATGGACTCTCAGTGTGTCCGGGGATCACAATACTTTTGGTCTGACAAGCAAATAAACACTTTTAATGCCTTATTTCACTGTGTGCATACATGGGAATTTTGTGCAGAGGGGTTGCACGGACATATGTGAATACTGAGAAAGGAAACATAATCTAAGTAGTTGAGTCCAGAAAGTTGCTTTCAAGAAAGAAAGAAAAAACAAAGGTGTGTGCTGCAGTTTTCTCTCAAGGCAACACCACCACCTTGTGGTAATTAGGGGGTATTGTATTCTGAATAGCTGGGAATTCAAGCTCATTTTTTCAACCAAATCACGATTAACAAATAAGCAAAATCTAACATACTAATAAACCTCTTATTTCCTCTTTATTTTCTCTTTATTAGATGAACGATATAATGCTGTACACCTACCCTCAGCAGGATGGAAAATACAGGCTCAAGAACACATTATCTCTGTCTGGGATGAAGGTACATTCATTTCCTACAAAATCTCAGCTCCAACTTTATCTCCGTACACAACGTTTTTTTAGCTGACCTCTGATGTGTTTTTGCCCCTCACACACACACAGGTGAGCAAACCTGTCCTCGACAACGTGCTGAACTGTATTAGGATTGAGGTGTCTGACATCACTATTACACTCTCAGCCAGGTGAGCATCTATGAACAGTGTGACTTTGTTTATGACTGGCACAAGACTCCTTTTCTCCTGTTCGACTCCTGTCTGACTTTAAGTCTAAAGCCTTTCATAAATATCAGGTGTGATTGTCTGTTTCCGTCTTCAGTTCAGTTGGAGAGAGGGAGGACTGGTTCCACACATTGAGCCGAGCCATAGCAGACCACGCTGCAGGACTCTGTACGTTTGGTGGACCCTGCAGTGAGGTAAGAGAAGCCAAAAAAATTATTTTTTTCATATGAGCTGGTTCATAAATGTCTGCATCAACTAAAATTAAGTTAACAATCAATGCTTGTTCAGTTAGTTCAAATAAATGTTACCACTGAAATGATCACTGAAAGAATCTGTTGTATTCTTTTAATAGCAATAAGTAGGTGTGCTTTGTAAACCCCAGCTTCTGTCTTACCACATACTAACATACAGAAACATCTGCTTATGAAACCTCACTCTCACCTTGTCTGATATATTGCATGTGTCCACAGGCCCGTGAGAAGTTGTGGATGGCCCTGGGTGAAGCTGCTCCTGTACTCGTGCCAGTGTCTCATGTGATGATGTGTATGAACTGTACCACTGACTTCAGCCTCACGCTGAGACGACACCACTGCAACGCCTGTGGCAAGGTCAGATACACAGACCTGCAAAAACTACTTTGTGATCAGTCTTTGCTAGAGGTTTGTTTCACTGTACTGGATGCCATTGCTGTGTATCCAATAAACTCATTATTCTAGGTTCATCAAGTCATGAATTATTAAATGACACAGTTATATTGTCTGTCACACAGACCTTTTTTTAATGTAGCGCTTTTGATCATTCTGTTAGAGTATTTTTTGTTGTTTCTCTGTTTTGGTATCAGGAGGTCAGACATAGGCCACTGAAACTGGATGCTGTCGGGTTTGTAAATCCTTTTTACATTCTGTCTCCCTGAACAGGTGGTGTGCCGTGCTTGTTCCAGGAACAGATACCCGCTGAAGTACCTCAAAGACAGGGTGGCCAAAGTGTGTGACCACTGCTATGCCGAGCTCAGGAAAAGAGGTGAATCTCAGCTTGTATAAGCATCTCACTGGTGGAGGAGTACAGTGGGAGTACAGTGTGTTTTCCTATTTGATATGGTATTAACTGTGTATGTGTGTGTGTGTGTAGGTGGCAGCGTGTCGGGGGCATGCGGTAACTCTAGCCCTCGGACTCACCGGGCCAGCCGTCCCCTCTCTGCTGTCTTTCAGAGCCTGCAGCCCCCAAGTTTGTGGAAGAGCAGGAAGAGCACCTCCCCTCTCAACCAGGTCGACTACACTTTCCGTTTGCCAACATGCATTTAGCTCAAAATATGGCATTTTATGAGCCCAATTTTAATCACAATGCATTAAATAATCTCACTTATTCTGTTTCAACTTTTCACTGTAAATATGGTCATGAAGGCTATTTGATCTGATTTGAGTTTAATATTTACTTTGAATGAATACATGTTAATTTCCAGTACAGAGTAATCTACTATATTACTACAGTATGCTGTATGTTATAGGCTTTAAATCAAATGGCCTCTACCCTTCAGTAAGTAAAGAGTGTTCCCTGACCGGGAATCGAA